GAACCCCACTTTACACACATTTCATATTTTTATGTGACGCTTAAGTCAAGTTATTTACAGGAAACGTACCTATTTACGGATTTCTTTCCCAAAATTATTCAAAAGAAAATGCAGCCGGGGAAGCGGAAACACATAACACCAATACTACTTAGCAGTCCGCGAGCACCATTCATTTACCTTAGCACTGATTGACTAAAACCCCAAGAGTAAAAAAAGTATAGTATTGACATCCTGTGGTGGTGCTAAGACGCCTTCTACTGTGTGTATTAATGCATACCAACACGCTGTGTAGTTGGTGTTTGAACTAGTAAAGTAAGTAGCTATAAGCGATTTTAGGAGTCTCGAGTATTCACGGGTATTAGCTAACAACAATGAACTCCAACACCGGTGAATACTCAGAGTTTGGGAACATTATAAACTTTAATGGAAGTCAAACTGACAGTGAAAAATGCAGAAAAATACTGAAGACTTCACTGGTCAAGTGTAGAGCAAATTAATTAAACTGGAGGGTTTGGTTAAATCAAATGGTGCATTTAAGAAGTAAACCCGTCAGTGGAAATGCAGATGAGAACACTAGTTTATTGTCTTGAACCATGATCACCTTGCGCGCGTTAAAGAATAACACCCATAGACAGCAAGACAGAAGCTTGGCTTCCTCAGTGACAAAACAGCCTTGAACCAAATCTATTCATCAGAAGAGTTGACACTCTGCTGCAGGAGGCGCCTGTGTGCCACAGAGTGAGGTCTGTTTCTGTTCTGTGGGAATCCGAAAGACGCTGGTCTTTCTTTTCTCAGTTTCTGCTCGGTTCGGTTCTCGCTCTGTCTCTTAGGAAAGGGGACAAGCCAAATCGTGGAGCACATCTGGGCTTGGAAGAGGCCATAGCATGTGTGTTTATGTTGGACAGGTGGTGGTGGGCGCAAGAATCGCCACTGTTTTCTTTCTCAGCAGCATGCCCTGCGACGGTTTACCTTGCAGCCGTGCCACATTCCCGACCCGGGGAAATAGGCTTTATTAATACCTCTAAGAACACACAGGGCATTGGCAATGTGAAGGTGCTTTGTCGACACCTTTTCCACAAATAAGACTGGGGCCTGAAACAGGTGAGTTAAAGACAAGGAAAGGCAAACATTCTCCTGGGGCCTCGGTGGAACAGGGGGCAGCTGGTTTTTGGCCCCTGTCAAACGGGACGGGGGCGGTGGGGCTGTTTCAGCCGAGCCTCTGGGTTCCAGGTGTTGCCTTTTAACTGGCAATTCCGCGAGCAATAAAGCATTTCACTTACTTTCGCGTGTAAAGTGCTTTCATTCCATCTCCAAATGATGTAATTACCCTGCTGTCCCAGGCGAGCGGAGCTGCGGAGAGGCGTTAGCTGCCGCTCGCTTTCCCAGCAAGAAGCCTTGGCGAAGGCTTCCTCGGCGAGTGTTTTCATTTAGGAGTCCAAACACCATAAAGTCAGGTAGTCGTTTGCACTGTAAACACGCGCTTTAATTTCATTTCGAGCCTGCCCCCGCTCTGTGCCGGGCTCATATTAATGAAAGAAAAAAATACATTATTTCCAGTCCAGCGTTCTGTTTGATGTACGAAGGGCAGAGGTAGACGTTTGCTCTCGGTTCCAGGACACAGATGGCGGATTTTGTGTTTGTCCAGCCCACAGGGCCGTGCAAAGGAAGTCGTACTGCTGAACGTTTTCCACATTTTCTCACAGATTCATTGTGTTTAATTGGGATTTGACGCAGAATTCCTTTGCATTCTGGAAAAGTCTGGAATTTGATCAGCGTATTTTCCAGATGTGGATGAAAAAAGGAGACAGTTTGAAATATTAGTTGTGTTTACACTTTACAAAGTGTCCTCTTATGTAAACAATTTTCTGTCCTTGTATTTGTCCTCTTTCCTTCCTCCCTCTCTCTTGACCTTATTTCTTCGATTTCTTTATTTCCTGCTCGCTTATATCCTTCCTCGTGTTCTACCTCCCTCCCTTTCTCTTTCCTTTTAGCTTTTCTATCTTGGGGTCTCTCTTGGTCTTGGAAGACCTTCATAGCCCCACTTGATGTAGGTCGAAGCGATGGGAACACAATTATGACGGAAAATCAAGAGAAGTAAAATGTGGACAAGGATCCATACAGTCATCACAATATTGAACAACACGTGTACAGTGTCATCAGGGTTTAATTCAAATATCTTTCTATACTGGAAAAAAATGATTAGCTGGCTAAATGACGTTTAGCCATTCTTAAATGACAGGAATAGTCCAGTCTGAAAAGTATCATGACATCCTGAAATTGGGCTTTGGGTGGGAAACGTTAAACTGGTTTAGTCCATACCTGCTTGACTGAACTTTTCCAACAGAAAAACTTTAGGTCCATGTCAGCATCTATTTCCTGTGGAGTTCCCCAAGATTTAATTCTCAACCCTCTCTGTTTTGTCTAGTATATTCTTCTGATAAGGTCAAAATTGAGCAACCAGTGTATCTCTTTTCATTGTTATCCAGATGACTGCCAGATTTACCTCCCTATTAAGCCTCAAGGCTCACTCAGCACTCCTACAGCGACTAGTGACTCAAAGCAGTCATAGCCACAGATTTCTGAGCCGTAGTGCTCCTCCACCCCTTTCCAGCCTCCTCCACCCATGTTTCACCACAGGCTCTAATCAAGAGACTTTGTTGTAGCTCCAAAACAATGGGACAAGTTGCCTTTACATTTTAGACATACTTTTTCTTTTGCAGTTTCTTTCTTTAAAACACTTGGTTTTTGACACATGGTTTGTTGTGAGGTTTCTTTTCATTTTACTACAGTATTTGTAATTTGTTTTCTTTTTTTTTTTTTTTGGTTTTCTTCTATATCTTATGATTGTCTTTATCTTTCTCTGATCTATCTCGGTACTGGACAGCACTTTCGCTAAGCTATAATGAAAGCTGGATAGTGTTAGCCGCGCATTTCCCAGACGTTGCAGAGGGACGAGGTCTTTCAGAAACCCGACAAGGCCTCCCGATTACAAATATGCTAATGAAGTCAGCGAACCCATGTAGTGATGTTATCGTTGGAAATTTTATGTTAAAGAGGAGATCATTTTCTTTCTTTTCTTTTCTTTCCCCTGCCCGACTTGGTGTGGAATTTCCTTAGCGACATGGTGAGGTCAGAACTCAACCCAAATGTCTGTCCAGCAGGCATGTGGGACGGCAGTCGTTTGACGGGAGGGGGCCCTCTCTGCCCTGGAGAACAAGTTCAGCCTGTCCGCTCGTGGCACCAGGCACGCTGTGAAACGTGAACAGAGTTCGGTCAGGAGAACAGGTGAAGAAGTTCGTGTGAACCCGGCAGACTTCGGCGTGGGTGTGAAAAACACAGCGGAGGAAGTGGGAGTGAAAGCATCTTCTCCCACAGGGTCTACCTGGCAATGATTTCCTTTCTTTCTTTTGCGTATCAGACCTCCCCAGTGCCTGTCAGTTTTTCAGCAAGCGGCGACACTTGCCAAAAAACACAAAAACAAGCTGTTCGCTAGCGCTGCCGTTCCCATGGGAACAGGCCCGCCGGTGGCGCGCGCCCCGCTCCGACACTCGTCTGCACAAATGACATGCGAGCCTTTCTGTTTTTTCTTCTTCCTCCTTCCTACCGGCGCACTGCGTGAAACCAGGAGGGCGGGAAGAGAGCGACACGGGCTCCATCGTGGAGAACCGAAGCCCTCGCTATCATTGAGCGATTAGCCGGACCCCGTTTGAAAGAGGTCCCGCGTAGGGGGGGAAGAAAAGGGATCAGGACACCTGAGATGTTGGGCCTGCGGTGCTCACTTCCTGCTGCTAATAAAGACCACACATTCCTAGTGGCTGGGGAAGCAGGGGCAGAGTGAGGCCGGGGGGTAGTGGTGGTGGTTGTTGTCAGGGAGCAATGGAAGGAGAGAAGTACGAAACAAACACACGCTAAACCACTTCAGTGAGCCATTTCTACGACGCCGGAAAGTCAGTCTGACAGCTAACACTTTGTCCTCGAATATTAGCCGTTTCCTTCCGCGGTCCGTGTCGTCGGGTTAGCCTTCGGTAGGAATTAGCACCTGTCCTCACGCCTCTGCTGTTCCCCTCCAGGTGGCACAAACGCCGTGTAATTATCCCACCGTTGTACCTGCGTGGCCTCGCGGAGGCGAAAGCGAGCGCGTGCCTCGGAACAGGTGTCAGTAATTGCTAACAGTTGCGTGTCAACGAGAGCCGAGAAGTTCGACGGCGGCGACGACGGTGTGCGACCAGGAGAAAGAGAGAAAAAATATATACACATTACAGTAAAGGATTTGAGGTAAGATAAATATTCTGACTTTTAAATTCGCTTCAGAACTTTCAACCCAACCCAGAAGTCAAACCGAGAAAAGCAGAGATGCTTGCTAAGTGTTTGTATGTTCATGGGGGGTGAAAACCAAAAAAAAAAAAAAAAAAAAAATGTAGAGCCAGTTTTAATAGAAACTTATTTTAAATAAGAGAATGCAGTTTATTTTGTCTGTGCGGCTGGTAAAAAAAAAGTGCATTGGCTTTGTAGGTTCGCCATCTTAAATTAAGCACAGTCGGATGTGAAAGCCCAGAAATAATTCCTCCTAGATCTCTGCACTTTAACTAATCTCCCTTTGAGACTTTGGCCAGTTTTTCCTCAGTAAATGCACTCTCCCTTGCTAAGGCTTTGTGGACTGACTTGTTTTAATAAAAACTGCTTTTTCTGAAAATTTATTTGAAACAGGTTTTTTTTTTTGTTCAATTCTTAATTTGGTATTTATTTTTTTTTGGCAGAGCTGTGTGTAAGAATACAAATGCATGATCACTTTGTTCAAAATGCCTTATAACCAAGGAGGTCAAGTTATTTAATCAAATCTTCTCTCTGGATATCACATTCCCTAAACAAGCAAGAGACGTTCCAGAAGAGGAAAAAACATCAGTTTTTTTTTTTAAACGAGTGAGAAATTACATTTATCTGGTAACAACATAGCGGGGAAAAAAATGTTAAAAATCCAACCTCAAATTTGAAAACTTTTATTCAATAGATTCAAGATCCTATTTTAAGGTTGTTTTTAAATGTAAAAATCTCAGCAAATCCATTGAAAAAAATAATAATCTCAAGAAATCCTTTAATAAACAATTTTTTATTTATGCCATTTCCCTGGGCCATAAATATGTGGCAGAGTTTCAATTCTCCAAGCTGTTTGTCAAAATGGGCAAGACAAGAAGATGAAGATGGAAGGAGACAAATCATCGCTGCACATTTGTATAGTCACAGCAAGAACTGTATAGTTTAAATCTTTGAAAACAGAGACTGAGGGAGGAGACAGGCTCATTCAGAGAATAAGTTTAAGGTTTTCTGATTGATGCCATTTTGGAAAATAAGCTCTATTTAATAACTTTGTTTGATCCAATTGTAGATTTCATATTGCTGACCTAACTCTGTGAAAGCAGTAGCTCAACAAAAGGGGGTGGGAAAAAACAAGTCTCTCCCTGAGGAAAACACTCCGGTCTCTAAGTGAGCAGTAAATCTGGCACTTAGGAGTGGTAGTGTGTGCTGGTGTGTGAATTTGAGCGTGTAAATGTACTGAGCGTCGCCTAGTCCATAGCCTCAAGAGCTGTCAAATGTTGCCTTGCTACACAACATCCGTAACCCGTGACCCTTGTAACTCCTGTTATGTTCTCGGCTCTGCAGACCCCTCAGATTTCCCTCCATTGGTCCCAGATGACAGATACCCCTGTCGTCCTAGTTTCTCCAAACTGCCCCGGTAGCCTTTGACCTCGCCCGGCAGCTCTGCCTCTGCGAACGCTGCCCTCGCATTCCAGCCGAAGGAGCTGAAACCTGAGCCCGCGGTGAGCTCATCACCCGGGCCGCGGAACCCAGAGTTAAGCGATACCAAAAAAAAAAAAAAACTAGAGAAAAACCTGAGAGAGAAGAAGGGGGTGAGGCAGCCGTCGAGAGTGGGACAGGTCTGGAACTGGTTCTGTGCGCCTGCCTGCTGTGTCCTCCTCGAAGCAGGTCGAATTACACCAGGGAGAGCCAGGAGTAAAGAGGAAGAAGCGTCTTTGAATTCTCCCTGGCTTTTTTTTTTTTTTTTTTTTGTCCGTTTTGTTTCTTCTCCTTCGTGGCTTGACCAACTGAGCGGCTTCCTCTGAACTCACGGCGGCAGGAACCCACCGCACTCCGTCTGGGCTTTCAAGTTAGCGAGACTTGCTGCTCTCTTGCTCATGCCTGGGATGTGAGCGTAAACGCCGTGGGGTCGCGCTCTCTCTTCTCTCAGCTCCTCTGTTCTCCCTCTGACCCTGCCATGACCACCAAGTGACCGAAGATGGTGAGTGGCCCTCTTGAAATTTTCACAGTGTGTGTGGAAGTGTTTGTGCGTGGATGGCTTTAGGGGCTGTGCAGCCCTTTTTTTTTTTTTTCTTCTTCTTTTTTTTTTGACTTTTTGGTGAAAAACAACTGAAAAAAGAAAAACAGTCTGTTCCAGAAACTTAATTCAGAAATCATTGTGATTCATGTCTCATATTTTGATGAGTGCCATTAAGATAAGTAATCACTGAAAACATAATTACACCAATCAGTGTCTCACTCACACTGAGTTTGGAGGATGACTTCATGTACGTCGGTGGGGTGGGAGAAAGAGGCTTTTTAGCCAAGAGCATCCTCGGCTGAAAAATGAACTTTTAAAACTTTTAAGAGTGCCATTAGACAAAACCTTTGGTGCATGCATTATTCATAAGCGCCGTGTTCCCTTCTAGCTCGATGCCTGTTGTTCTTCCATGACCCCGTGCTTATCTCGTCAACCTTCGGGGTGACGTGAAACATCCGAGGAAGAGTTTTAAAGAGGTTTGATGATTTTAATGAGCGACCTGCAGGTAACGGTAAATAAAAGATTGGCTACGCATTTATTTTTTTCTTTTTCTCTCACTCTTTTTTTTTTTTTACCGAGCGTGATAAAAGAGCACTTGCATGCTTTCTCAGGGGGTCGTTTTAAAAATTCAAATCAGTTTAAAGGCCGGTCTGGAGTCTGCCATCGTCTTTTTTTTTTTCCCTCCGCTGAAAGCCATTAAAAATAACTTTGGAGCCTTTTAAGTTTTACCTTTTTATTAGTCTGAGGGTGAAACGCAAACATTTATCTCTAATCTCTGCCTTGTTGCAGAGGTGTCATTATTTAGAAAAAAGGAAAAAGGTGTGAAGTCTTCCTCTGCCTCATGCAAGTAAACACACCAAAAAAATAATGACATTCACTATGATCAAAAGCTTTGTCGGCAGGAAAAAGAGCTGCCCCCAAATGCACTCAATTTACAAAGCTGCTTTATTTACGGCTCTCACTTAATACACCTCCGGCGCGCTGAACACCAGACCCCGACGTGATTAATGACGGAACGTAACATCTTATAAGGAATAACAATGCATACCTCCCTGGTGTCAACATATTCTACTGAAGTTTATTTTACTGAAGATCCACACTTGCTGTATAGAAAACCTAACTTTTTAATTTTTTTAAAAAGGGAGAAATTCTATTTACAGAATGATTCAATAGCAGCTTTTACCGAATCCAATGAATGGCCAAATGAGTCAAGAGGTCAGATCTATAATGTGCTAAAAAGGAAATAAAGCGCTTCATAACACTGATTCCCCTGGAGATCAGATGAGCTCACCTTCACTGACTCACTCATTTTATGTTTTTTTAAAGAAATCAATGTGTTTTTTCAGGCAATGAAATTTATACTTTCTTTCATCTAACATGTCAAAGTCATGTCAACGTATGTCAAGTTTTCCGTTCAGTATTTCTAAAATTCCAGCTGTTATGTCCCGTATTTCAACTATTAAAAGTAATGTTTTTTTTTTAACAGCTCTAATGTCAAACCACTGCTGAAACCACTTCACTATGCGTAAATATAAAAACAATAATTCATTCACATATCAATCCATGACAGACTGTGTGGAAAGAATTAAAGATTAGGGCGATGGCACAGAGGGTTTCCAACCTCAAGAAGTTGAGGAACATTTTTAAAATACCAATTGGCAATCACAAGTCGGGTTTGATGTCTATAATACCAGTCAAGTATGTCCGTTGACTATTGGAAAGGACATGCATCATTTTTGTCATATTGTGTTAAATAACAAATAAAAACAAATCTGTGTATTTAATTTAAACTTATTTTACTTTGGTTTAATAAATTGGAAAATTTCTTCATTTTACTTCCAAAATGAAGAAAAGCTGTAGCTTTTTCTTGAGCAATTTTTTTTATTATATAAAAAAGTAATAATGGGCTCTTTTCAACAAGTCTAACTACTTTTACCTTCCTTTGTAGCCTAAAAGCTACTTTAAAAAAACAACTTGGGATTACTTACTGAATTTGTATGCTAGCTTTAGCTTCACGAGGCTAGCTTACGGCAATTTCAAATGGCAATTTCAAAAGAATCTTTGAAACACCGGCTTTTAAAAACTCAGGAAATACTTTTTTTTAAAAAGTAATTTACAATGATTACCATGCATCAGCAAGCCTTGCTTTAGCTAGTCATTTTTAGCTAATTGTAGTTAATTAAATATTTTCTGCCTAATCACATTCTTTTGCTTATTCTGTTAATCTTGGTCACTTGTTTTTGTTGGCACTGTGTTCCATCTAATTGACTTAACCTTTTTGTGCCAAATTGTTTTGATCAAATTTTGCTAAATTAAACTAGCGTACAGTGCAATTTACATTCTTTTTATAATAATAATAATTATTATTATTATTTTCCTACATCCTGCCTGCAGTATTAGCTTTAAAACTAAAATAAACGTCACACGGTACTTCTCTTTTGTGGAGAAATCTCCTGAAGCGACATCTTTCCTAATCTGTGAATTCCATGCATTGTCATTCATGTGTCAACTGGAAGACAAAGCATGTTACTAATGTGTCAGGGAAGGTGACAGCTCAACAGGTACCTTTTGAGGCGTTCGGGTTTAAGAGCCAAAAGTGAGCTCTGTCACTTGTAATTGCTTTAGGGGACAGGCAGGTAGTCTGAAACAGTTTTATATATTGCAGCAGGATTGAACACATTCGACAGCTGGAATGTGTTTTTACAAGAAGCAGGAGGGGGGGCGGGAGAAAAAAGGGGAAAAAAAAAACGGTTTATGCCTCTGTTTCAATACTGTCCATTCTTACAGTTTTTGGCTAAGAAGTAAAATTATCCAACACAGCGATGACCTACTTAGTCTGGAGAGTTTTGTAAAAAATAAAAATGGAAATGTTCGAAATAGAAAGCACACTTGGATGACATTTCTTGACTTTTTTTTCCTCTTTTAACAGTCCTCTTGAATTTCTTTCTCATGTGGAAACATTTGCTTGCTCAAAGCCCAATCCTGTTGTACAGTGAAGTCAAGTAAAGGCAGCAGCCTACTATGGGCATGAATCAGACGTTATCTGAAGCTGGTCATAGCCTGAGGGTAATCCTGCAATGGAGTGGGGAAAGAAGGAGAGTGAGACAACGAGAGGGGGCTAAGACGAGAAGTAATGAGAGATCTTAGAGTAGGGAAAGAGAAAACGGACAAAGAAGACTATAGCATGTTTCACCGGGCAATAGAGAGATCCAACACAAGGAGAAGCTTGTTCTTGCGCCGCTTCACTGTTCTTTGGGCATGTAGCAGAGGGGTACAAAAATGGACTCGAATACCGTCGGATAATGTGATTAAAGGCAAATCAGAGAATGAAGGTTAATTGGAGTTAAGTGTCTGTAAAAAGAAAAAAGAAAAAGCTCCCTCTATATACATCTGAAAGTTAGCCTCCATCCCGCCAACTGGGCTCGAATTCCCTCTGCCTCCTGGAAAATAAACAGAAACTAAATAGTTCAGAAAGAATGTTGCAAATGTATATTTTTTGAAGATAATACCTGGGTACTTATGACACGGTCATTAGATTAAAGTCCATTGCCGAGACATTAGAATAACACAAAAACCAAGACTCAAAAAAAAAAAAAAAGGCCGTAGCGGTAAATTCACATCGTCTGGAGGTTGAACCACGGCGTTGACGTCACCTGTAACAACTTAAACCAACAGACGTTTTCATCAAACGCTCATAATCTCTTGCTTAGCAACCTGTTTATTTGCGCTCTGTCATTCAAAGTTACAGACAGCAGAAGAAAAGAAAACACAAGAATTTAACCTTGGTCTCTAAAAGATGACCAGAGCTAAACAAGCGGGGGAAAAATAACACCACCACTTCCGACATACCTCAGTTTGCAGCCGAGTCGTCCACAATAACCTTCGTTGTACAACATTACGGATGTAAGCATCGTTGGTGAAACGCAATCTTTTTCTTAAAAGAACCCCTGCCAACCTAAATGAGAAAATCAGCCTGACTGCAATAGCAACAATGACGCACAAAATGTTGAATCTAAACTCTTTTGGCATAGTGACATTTTTTGAACATTAAACACATAAGGAGAGATTTGAGCTTGACCTCCAGTCCTTCCCGAATGAAAAGAAGGAACTGCTTCAATGAAAAAAAAAAACATTAATACATTTCTGACTTGCATAAATTAAAAACAAAAAACTATGGTTAGAATTTTTTCATTTTTATTTTACTGATATTTAAAAGAAGAAAATTTATTAGCAGAAGTTTCACTTGCCTGTTTTTGTGTAGCAAAGTAGCAGCTAACAAATGAAGATCAGACGGCGTATATTCACTCGGATAATGAAATGTAATTTAAGCTCTTGAGTTTCATACGATGGCTCATCTGGCTGTGTCTGCTTGATACTCAAGGTCTAATCATGCCCTTTACACCATGATTGAATAAACAAAGTGATTTTTCTTTAGCTAAAAGGCCTCTCACAAAAACTACACAAATAACCATGTCTCACATTTTCATGTACGTATTTCATTTTAAAGAAGCACCACTTCAAATAATGTTGCAGCTTTAGCTTTCTCTACATCTGATATTGTTGCATATGTTGTTTTATTAATAATTGAAACAGATTTTTCTATACTAATAAACTAATAAAAATAGTCTCACATCAGTATGCTGAAATTCTTGATGTAGCTTCAACGGCGTGGCAGCGGGATCAATTTTCTAATCCGTTTGCAGTGAATAGAGTCTTTAATCCTTAAGGTTCATCCATAGATGGTCATACAGTCTGTAACAGGGAACCTGGAAGAATGTAAATGATGTAAAATATACATATGTTATAAATGTTTCACGAAATGAGAGCATCTCAGACCTACAGAAAATGCTTATTTACCGTACTTTCCGGACTATTAGCCGCACCTGAATATAAGCTGCAGAAGCTAAATTGCATGATTTGTACATATACAAGCCGCACTGGACTATAAGCCTCAGGTTTTT